CAAATGATTTTAAAAAAATATTATAATATATGTCTAAATTATTATTGTTTAATTACCCAAACGTTTTCTCAACATACAATTTTTATTATTTTGAAATTGCTTTGCTTATTCACATTGAGGAAAAATACAAAACTATTATTTGTTCTGAACAAACTTTCAATGAAAATAACATCCATCAAAATAGAAAAATAAAAAATAAAACAAAAGTTGTAAGATACAAAAGTTATCACGAGTTGTACCATCCTCTTTCCCCATCTCCTTGAAATCCCAATTGTATTCCTGCGAAAGTGAAATTATATTTTGATACTTTGTTTATACGTTTCAGGTGGCATTGCAGCTGCAACAGCCGGTGCAATATTTTATGGCAATGGTTTTTTCGGAACGATGATGTTCCTTTGGTTATCGCCACGTTGGGTGATCCTTCAAAATGAGTGGAGATCAATGGAACGATTCATAGACAGGTTTTAATAGAAAAATTATTGAATTATTTTTATTGATAAATAATCTCTTGAGATTATTTAACTTTAAATATATATATATATATATATATTTTTTTTTTAGCAACAAATCCTTGAGACCACGGTTACGTTTGAAATTTTTAATCTTAAGTATCATCGTACTCGTATTTTCTTTATTGGAACATATTCTCAGTATAATTAACAATAGTTTAACTTACGAATGGGGAACATCTAATTCGACGTTTAAAAATTTTTTACACATTTACATCACCACCTCGCACAGTTTTATCTTCGATATAAGTAAGCCTATATATTTATATATATATATATTTTTTTTTTTTAAATAATTTCACTTTCTAATCGAGACAATTATTTTTTTTCCAATCAAAAATCAAACCAATTTTGTTTTTAGTCGAGTACAATTTCGCCATTGGTATTTATATTTTCATAGTGAGCAAATTGGCGACTTTTGTGTGGAATTTTACCGATTTATTCGTCATGTTGGTATGCAAACCAATAAAACATTGTAGTTAATTAACTAATTTTAATTATTATTATTTTCACGAGTATAAATTTGTAGGTATCAACCGGTTTGGCAGAAAGGTATAAAGCACTTAACAAAAGATTGTTCGTATTAACGAAAAAACATACTAACACAGTGGATTGGTGTGAATTTAGATGCGATTACGCTATCCTAAGTTCATTGATGAAAAAAGTGGACAACGATATATCACCGATAATACTCCTATCGTTCGCAAATAATCTATATTTTATTTGTTTACAATTATTGAATGGATTATCGTAAGTTTCATTGAGATTTCGATAATTTAGCATATTTCTTATGTTACACAATTTGTTACGTGAATTTACGCAACCTTTTTGTTTTGTTTTTTTTTAACTCTATGGTATTTTTTTTCTTTTAATTATTTTATTATTCGAAGGGGACCTACGGAAGGACACATTATAAGTGGCATATATTTTTTCGGTTCATTCGCACTTCTCATAACTCGAACCTGTGCCGTTACATTGTTGACTGCCAGGATTAATGATCAAAGTAAAACCGTACTACCGTTGTTGTACAATTGCTCATCTTCCACCTATAACATTGAGGTATATTATTTATTATTATTATTATTTATAATATAATATTGTAATATTATTTGATATTAATTCATATTTAGAATAATTATTAATTCTTTCGTTTCTAAAAACCCGTATATGGGCCGTATACCGTGCATATATATAATAAACAATTTATGTAAAAACTGTGTTGACCATGTAACAAAAGGATTAAATTAATATTATTTTATATTGTTATATATTATTTAGATTGAAATCAATATATATATGTTAAATTAGAAAATTAATTGCTTTATGGTTTTCCTATATTTTTTTTTTTTTTTTTTTTTTTAATTTTAAATTATATGTTTTTTCTATCATAAATTTTTATATTTGATAGACCCAAAGATTACAATATCAGCTTACGACAGACGATGTTGCTCTGACAGGCTTACGTTTTTTTTCCATCACAAGGAATTTCATGCTAGCGGTAAGAATTTTGTATATTGTGTGTTGTTATTTTTATTAAAAAAGAAACAAAAAAAAAAGTAATCGACAATTAATTATGTTTTCTAGTTGGCTGGAGCTATAATAACGTATGAGGTCGTACTACTTCAATTCAATGTTGCTATAAAGACGTAAAAGTGGAAACTTTTATTTAACATTGTCTTTTTCTTCCTTTCTTTCTCTTTCTTTCTCTCTCTCTCTCTCTTTCTAGAAATTATTTATATAAACAAAAAAGACCAAATAGAAAATAAAAATATCTTTACCTCGCAAATGTTCGTGATGTTAGATTGTACTTATTATATGTTGTTTATATCTACCAATACCAATTCGTAAGAGACGATAGTACCAGCTATCTAAACGACTTAATAATCATTTGTAAAAATTATTAAAGAAAAAAATTAAAAAAAAAAATCAAAAGATAATTAACACTAGAGACCCTATAGGAGGGACGCGCCATGTAGATTGCAAGGCTGAAAATGTGGGGGGACAGCTTCCGTTTCATCGCGCAGCCATGTTTATCTTTAGTATGTATTAACGGCTGTGGTTAGTTTAAGTTTGGAATACTTATAGTTTTTATTGTGATATTTATGTTTAATTGTTTTTTTTTT